TGTTCGGGTATAAAATGACGTCTGTGGGCTGTTCGGGTATAAAATGATGATGTGCATGGTAACCCTGCACAGACTAGAGATTTGCACATCGACACATCGCTCTCTGTTTGGCGCTGAGAAGAATTCAGAAGCATAAACTTTGTCGTTTTTATACGAAGATCGTTTCACAGTTATTCCTAATTTCCCATTGACGTCCCGTACAATGCCCAGGTCTGGTCTACCAGCTCTTTAGCGTGTTGGACACTCCCCCTCCCGACTCTCTCAGTGGGATCTGTGGAAAACCTTTTCCTCTAACATTCAGCACCAGACAAGGAAGCGACTCCTGGAGCCACGTGGATGCAGCATGTTACATTTTCCCTGTAGTTTCTGCAGTCAAATGAACGGTTTCAGTGAGTCATAATGAATAGGTGGCCTTGTCTGTATAACAGTCAGCGATGCTTCACTGGAGTTCAGTCTTCTGTGGGTCTGCTGATCAGTGAAAGGAGACTTAAGTTACATTAAATGGACGTGGAGGAGTTCAGTTACACAGCTTCTCTCTCGCCTCTAATCTCAAGCTTCACTCTCCTCGTCCTCATGCTGCTTTTCAGCTTCACACCTGTTGAAGGTAAGCTCATTCAATATGTACTCGCGCCATATTCTTACCACAGCAACGACTGCAAACTGTCATCCAGCTCGATTAACGTTTAACGTGGAAATCAATTCATCTTTTCAATTCACGCGGGTAGACAAGGAAATATGTCACAATTAAGTATTTTCATGTTATTCTGATGTTATGTGTAGTTTTTCTGTTTTGGTAACAATTTAAATTCTGATTATTTTTGAGCAAATCCTCTGTGCTTTTCCAGTAGACTACATATGTATCAATAAACTGAAGTAGGATAATACAAAAATAATACATACTACCATCATGAAGTTTATTATAAACGCCTGTGAATATATCTAAACAACTAACTATGACCTCAATGCTAAACATAATTAACTCCTCTGAGTGTCAACAAAAATAACATTATAGGCATCATAAAAGTAAAATGTTTGGCTTAATTGGATTGTATTATATTGCACAGAATATTTATTAATTATTCTGAACCTTCGTTTGAATTAAAGAGGACATAACTACAGTTAATGCACAATATACAGAGGTCATTAAACACCTGCACAAGAGGACTATGAGTTACTACTGTGAAAACTGGTACAAAGATCAGGCGAGGGGGCACAACTGGTGATTCTTTTCACTGTCGATGTATCGTGAAAGCTTTCTGTTTAGCAACACTGTTTTAAAGTTGTTAGTTCTGGAAACTTGGTATGACTTTATGGCCTTATTTGGAAGTAATAGTGGAGAAAACACCACTGGAGATGATTTAAGCGTCAACATACAACAAGATTCCAGACTTCACTCGCTTTTCAGCAGGTTTTTAATTTCTCCTCCGTTTCCTCAGGTCAGCCTCAGGTGATCGGATCTGTTCAGCCGATCGTTGCTGCTCCTGGCGATGACGTCATCCTGCTGTGTCACGTGAAGCCGGCACTCAACGTGACGGCTCTGACGGTGGAGTGGTCGAGGCCCGACCTCAAGCCGGACCCCGAAGATCGGCTGAGCCGGGTCAAGTACGTGCATTTCTACCGGAACACCAAAGACATCCCGGACATGAAGATCTCGTCGTTTGTCAACAGGACGACGCTGTTCAAGGACGGCCTGGCTCGAGGCAACATATCGCTCAAGATCACGAATGTGACGCTTTCTGACGAGGGAAGATTCCGATGTTTCATCCCGAAGTTAGAGAGCCAAGTAAAGTCTTCAATTGTTCGCCTTGTCGTTGGTGAGTTAATCTGTTCAAATGTCGTTCAGGATCCAGATTAAAGTTGCAACTAAAGATTCATTATATTGTTTAAAGTAAAGTTAATTTACTATATTAACATTTTATCTTGTCAAGAAGGCGCCAACAAATATTAAACCTATATGATCAGTGGCTGAACAACGTGTTCTGATACAACCGTATGATGACTTACTAAAAAGTTACTCCAAATATTTCGTGTGTTTTCCAGCAACACCTATCCATCTCCGCTCGTTACACGCAGAACGTCTTTTCAAAATAAACGTCCTTCTTAACAGGAAACAACGTAGCTAGGTTTAGGCAACAGATCCACTTGGTTAGGTTTAGAAAGAGATCGTGGTTTGGGTTCAAATAAACGCAGAATCGGCTTTACGGAAGTTACGTGACAAATAAATCAACGTTGACTTCTCGTTTCACGAACGCTGTACGAGAACAGTCTGAAATATCTAGTCAGCGACTTCCTACGTTGCTGTCGCTCTATAACAAACTACTATTGTCTCCTTTAAATATTGTGATGTAAGTCTAGACAAATCTTTTTCTTTTTTTTCCAGGAACAAACTCTTATAAAACCTGGACAACAGAGACGCCACTGCAACCCACAAGTAACCAAACTCTTGTTCTGAAGGGAGAGATGGATGTTAACGGTAAACCTTTCAACCTTGTCAGCAGAAACATTTTGTTTTTTATGTTTGGCAGAGAGGTTTCATGTTTGAAGTTATAATAAGTGCAACTGCATTTCAGTTAAAAGGTTAAGTAGTCAGTTAATGTATTGTGTTTTGCAATTACCTGTCTTTAAAGTAGTTTTCATTGTTAGTGGCGGAGTCCGCCATTCCTGCACTGCATTCAAATTGCCTTCACACGCACAAAAGTGTAGAAGAAACGATGCGTGCATGTATGTAGCGTAACTTTATCTCATTGATATTTCATTTCACACTCATTGTTCCTGTCAGGTGGTTTATCAGGTCGGAGCAGGTGGACCATCGTTGTGGTTTTCTGCTTCTTCTTCATGATCCTGGGTGTTGGAGTCACAAGACAGAAGTGTCGAAAGTACGTATTTAATTTTTGAATATATTTGTTTTTCCCGAATGGTCAAGTGCTGATAAAGACGAACAAAACACACAATTTCTTCCTACATGTAAATAAGAGACGGTTAATTAATTTCCTTTTTTACTCTTTATTGTCCCTCCAGCTTTTAAAGGTACCTTCTTCAGTCTCGGTGCCTTGCTCAAGGGAACATTTGTAGACTCTCACAGAGATTAGCGCACTACCAGCTTATCTCACCTTGATATTGCCAATTAGTTTAAGGATTCAAACCAGCAACCCATCCAGGCACAAGTGGACAAGGTGGATCTGCAGGAGGGAGGCTTTCATAATGTGAAAGGAAGCGGAAGAAGACCAGAGAGGTTCATTTGCGTTCGGACTGAAACGGATCTTTTGCTGAACTTCAACTTCGTTGTCGTTTTATGTCCAAATAGCTTTGCATGTGACTTTCAGTTGGTGGACACAAAGATGCATTTCATCACCATTTACATATATTTGCATTGGAAACGAAGTCTTTTGAATACCTTGAACTTCCCAGGCCGAGGCCATCTGGATCCTAAATGCACACCTGGTTTTCTCGTCTGAAGTTTAAATGCAATTGAACAGCTATTGAGAGATGCATGTCACTGAAAAAGTCAAAGTGGATCTTTTATTTGTTTTGTTTAGCAACCGAAAAGCTTTTTCTTTTTTTTTTTTTTTTTAATATTGATGATGCATAATAGTGGGCATATTAAACCGCCGAACCAGATATTGTTACTGCTCACATCAGTGATTGTAGTCAAAGCACTACCATGAGTAGTTTTCTTGCAAAAGTGATTCAAAGCTGAATTATACTGTAGATTCATGTATGTTTTCCACGAGGCATATTAAAATCTTCTGTAAAGATTGTTGCACTTTCATGTTACTTGGAGTTTGTTTTATATTCAAAGTCAATCCAATGAGGGATCGGCACACTGAAAAGCTGTTTAAGTGACAAAGATACCAAAGAAAGCACATTTACAAATGATGAAGGTGTGTTTACGTCATTTGTGCGGAAGCTCAATGTTTACTCGTACATCTGTTACAGCAAAGGAAAATCAATATCGCCAGCTGCTAACCTACTATCTGACTTTTACAGCATTTGATTTTCCATGTCATCTACCTCATGTTCCCAATTTTTATGGTTTATAAAACATTAGCATGTCATTTGCTCCATGGAGCAGGTCGTCTTTGAGCCCTTGGTAACCGATTGCATAATAGCAGCTGTTTGGTTGGACTTGATTGCAGAAAAGGACCTGTACTTACATGAGACAGTGTCCACTTAAGGCTCCAGTTATGTCTCATTTATGAGGTTCAGATGAGAATATTGGGGGGAGGGATCAAAACTTTGATCAAGAGCAACAATGGTGAGCCTCAAAGGCTTATCTGCTGCATCAAAAGAGAACATCGTCTGTTCAGCTTTCCTTATTATAGATGTGAAAACTCCATATTATCTCTATCACAGTATTTTTGTCTGCATGTTACCTTTTTAACTTCCCTTCATCTTGTCATTATGCCAATGTGAGAAACAAAACAAAACCTTTTTTTTCCATATAAGGTTTTCTCTTCTGGTGTATTTTTTTTTAAATCTCTCAGGGGAAGCACCCTGTAGGAAGAATCACTGAATTATTTCCTGCTACAGAACAGTAGATGTATTATGTTTGTTATTCAGAACTGATGGAAACTGAGGGTTTTTTTGTCCCAGACGCTCTTCATCAGTTTCTGTGGAAACCTGTATAGAAATGTACATTACATTCAGACATCAGTGGGAACATCTGCATAATATCTGACTGGTTGAAGTTTCGTTTTCCCCAACAATCTCCATGGGTGTTGAGTGTGTGATTCAGGGTACTTCTCAAGTCTCTTATTAATTGCATCACCGTTTCCCTCACTTGCGTCCTTTCCTTGCGTCTTAGTCCCTCCCACCAGGGATGCACGGAGGAAACCATGCAAGGAGAGAGGAACTAGGAAATAGAGGTGCTTCTCTCTGTAGTCTGTTAAACTGTCCTGTGTTCTGTTTATAAGCGCAGGATCCATTTCTACCGGCGGAATGCGATCGTCTTATTTATGAATTATTTGCGTCTGTACGTCTTGAAATTGTGACTGTGGCAGAATATGATGATTGTTTCTCTTAAATGATAAAACTCATCAAACACTCAGGAATGATGTAAAAAGTGTTTAGTCTCTCAGCTCTCTCTGACTTTAATTGTATTCATAATAAAAGTTATTGAGGGAAACATCAGATCATGAAAACACAAATCTTTCTAATAAATGAAGAAAGTTGTTTGTGGTCGTTTTGTTGTTCAGACTACAATGAACATTTATTTAAACCAGATGATGAATCAGAAACCTAATTAAATATAAACTAGAGTTTATTCTGTGATCAGTCTTCACTCTGGTGTTAAACTCAGCGTCCAATCACATGACTGATGAACAGTGAGGGGGCGTGTCGGCCGTTAAAAGACTTCCTGGAGGTCTGTTCTCGTGGTTCCTCGCTGATGGCTCCTCCGAGGTCCATCCTCAATCCTCCATCCTCTCTCCTCAGAGCTACATTAGAGCTTTGGGACGGGCGTCAATATGGCGGCGCAGAAACAACTTCCGGTTCAAGCGAGGAGCGAGGAAACGACAATTAAGAGACTTGAGAAGTACCCTCAGTTGTTGGACTTGGTTTCATTTCCTCGATCGATATTCTAACAAAATAACTCACAAAATGAGTGTCTATTTCGAATATTGTAAAAAAAAAACCTAGCCGCTGTGAGCCATAATCCTTACCAGCTGGTGGCGGTAAATCGTTGTTTGCCAGCCGCCATTGAACAGACGAACAAGTACAGTCACGTGATTTCAGAGGGTTTAAAAAAAAAAAGAAAATACACGCAATGAGCTGTAATAAAGCCGAACCAGAAAACCTCAACTAACACCGACATTACCATGCGTAGCATTCAACTTTGGCGGTGAATCAGCTGACGACACTGGGAGCTAATGTTGGCCAGTCAACCAGCCTGTTTACACCATGAATTTAAGAGGACTCTTTCAGGACTTCAATCCCAGGTACGTTGAGCTAAGCTACGACCTAGCACCGTAGCTAACTGTGTAGCTAAAGTAGCTAGCTGGCTAAACAAGGCCTGGCTAACCCGCTAGCTAAGATAACGCCAGAGGTTTGTTACAAGTAACGTTACTTAACTTCATACGTTAATACTTATATATATCTAACGTTGGTCAGTTATTCACTCATGCATCCAGGAATCAGGTTGAACTTAATAAAGCGAGTTTATTTTAGGTTGCACATACAGTTAGCTAGCCTATGACCTAATGAGCTTTACAGGCCATCAAAAGCAATGGCTGCAGGCTTAGACTTATTTAAGGGTAAGGGATAACCAGTACCAGCTGTTTCTGACTCTCCATATACTATCGCCATCCTACTATGGTCTATTTAATCTAAATTCCCCTTTCTTAGATATAGCCAAAGATACGTATCTCCTTTTATTGAGCACCCATGACTGATAGCATCACATCCTGTGACATTTGACTTTTTAATCTTATCCTACTTTTTCTCTTATTTGCACACTGATTAAAACAAGTTTCCATTTGCATGCTTCCCTTCACACACGCACTCCACATATCCCATCGTCTCTGCATTGTCTAATGTGTTTCTCTCTGTCGCCGGTGTGCAGTAAGTTCCTGATCTACTCGTGTCTGCTGCTCTTCTCTGTGCTGCTGTCCTTGAGGCTGGATGGAGTCATCCAGTGGAGCTACTGGGCTGTGTTCACCCCAATATGGCTGTGGAAGCTGTTGGTCATCATCGGGGCCTCTGTCGGCACTGGAGTCTGGGCGCACAACCCCCAGTACAGGTAGGCTCTCTCACGTGTATGGACACCTGGCTTAGTGGTCAGGTATTAATGGGACCGCTGCCATTAAGGCTACACATGCTGCTATAAATGCAATACTGCAAGGAGTCCAGCTCATGAAATAGATTGCTTAGGCTCACACTAGGAACGTTCAGATTCTATCTGTGTGTCCTCTCTCAGGGCTGAAGGGGAGACGTGTGTGGAGTTCAAAGCCATGCTGATCGCTGTGGGGCTCCATGTCCTGTTGCTGATGTTCGAGGTGTTGGTGTGCGACCGCGTGGCGAGAGGAAACTACTTCTGGCTTCTCGTCTTCATGCCGCTCTTCTTCGTGTCGCCCGTCTCTGTAGCAGCATGCGTCTGGGGGTTCAGACACGACCGCTCCCTCGAGGTAAGGAGTCTGTCTGCCTGCCTGTCTGTAGAAAGGTACATTATTTGAGAGAAATTGATGGTGTTAGCGCTGAACTTTTGCCTTCACTCTTCCTCTCCTCAGCTGGAGGTGTTGTGTTCAGTTAACATCCTCCAGTTCATCTTCATCGCTCTGAGGCTGGACAGGATCATCAACTGGCCCTGGCTGGTGAGACGCTCAAACACACAAAGTAGAGCAGAGATTAGCCATTGTTTGTGGAGGACGGCTTTCTGAACCTGCATGATTTCATCTGATTCCAACTCGGTGGCACAGATTACAAGCATTAAGAATAACTAAATAGAACCACCACAGATGTAAGGCCACTGGTGACACTGCTGCCCTTACCTTCCTCTTCTTTAATGATGTGTGTGTGTGTGTGTGTGTGTGTGTGTGTGTGTGTGTGTGTGTGTGT